TAATGGCCTGACCCCACGCTGATGTGTCAAATTTCAGTCATTTCAGGTAGTTAGTAGGCCTGCGCCTCGGTCGCCGTTTCTTCACTCCCGACAGATAGGGGATGCTTATCCATGCAATGTGCTGAAATCCCATTCATGTGGACCGCTGCCGCCTGGGCTCATGACCCTGTCCCTGGGGGCCCAGCCTCCCCCGCACCTTGTCTGGTGGGGTTTGCGCATCCTGACAAGGCTGGTGCCCTGGGTTGGGCGCGGCGTTAGCTAGGACCTGCCCTCTCCTCCCTCTCCGTCCTTCCTCAGGAGGCCAGCCCTCCCTCCCACCCCCCTCCGCTGCCTGGCTTCCCTAGGCCCCAGACCCCCCTGGGAAGTGAGCGGGGGTGGGGAGGAGCCTGGGTCCCAGGAGGCCAGCCCTTTCTCAAAAACATCTCTATTTACTCCTCTTCCACCTTCCTGTCCTGTGTCCGGCACCTCACCTCAGCCTTTTGACCCTGCTCTGGACCCACACGCTCACGGTGCTGGCGGAGGCGGCCTCCTCCCAGCGGAGCTGCCCGCCGGCCTCTAGAAGGCTGAAGATCGCCCTGCAGGTAACGACATCGGTGACAGCGGTACTAACCCTGGTGGGAGGGCTCTCGGGGTCGGCACCAATGGCCGTCTGCTCGCCCTCTAGAACCTGGAGATCTGCTTCTACGCAGAGGGCTGTGGCCTGCCGCCTGAGGCCCTGCACACGGCCACCTTCAAGGTAGGGCCCTTTGCTCTGTTCCGGGTGGGAGGGACCTGTCTTCCTGCGGTCACCTGCGTCTAGGACCCGCTGCATAATTACAGAACCCAGCACCAAATGACACTGCGGGCCTCTCTTTCAAAAATTCTTTCAAATGACCCCGGCTGGTGTGGCTCAGTGGGCTGAGCGCCAGCGTGAACCAAAAGGTCTCTGGTCACTGATTCCCAGTCAGGGCACAAGCCTGGGTTGCAGGCCAGGTCCCCAGTAGGGGGCGTGGGAGAGGCAACCACACACTGATGTTTCTCTCCCTCCCTTCTCCTCTCTCCAAATAAACAAAATCTTTTAAAAAATTCCCTGAAATGTTGAGGCAGCAGCAGAGCAATGACCCAAGTGTGAAACTCGAGGCTCTCAGCATGGCGGGGTTGCTGTGGGACTGTGTGGGGGCACCGGAACTCCGGGCGCAGCGCCGGGCTGTGACTGAGTGTGACAGTTTCCGTGACTTCTCTTCTGGCCCCGTTTGCAGGCCCTGCAGAGGGACCTGGAGCTGCAGGGGGCCTCCACCCGCGAGCTCATCCAGAAGTACTTCTGCAGCCGCCTCCAGCAGCAGGTGAGGCGTCCCGCCCACGGCCCGCCCCGCCCCGCCCCGCGAGCCCCGCCCCGCGAGCCCCGCCCCCGCTGACGCTACCCCTGCGCCCCACGCCCTAGGCTGAAACCACCACGGAGGAGCTCGGGGCGGTCACGCTCAAAGCCTCCTACCACGCCTCCGAGCAGAAGCTGCGTGTGGAGCTGCTCAGCGCTTCCAGCCTGCTGCCCCTGGACTCCAACGGTGAGTGCAGACTGCCCACGGGCCACTCCGCCCTGCTCTCGCGTCCCCGGTGGCTCTGCCGGCCCAGCAGGAGCACCGGGTGCATTTCCTCCGGACTACCAGGAGGGGGCGGTGCTGCCGAGCGGGCCCCAGCAGCAGGGAGTCGAGGCTGGTGGAAGCGCCGGGGTGTCTTTGGTCATGGTTTCCTCCCTGGGCCACTTGCCAGGCTCCAGCGACCCCTTTGTCCAGCTGACCTTGGAGCCCAGGCACGAGTTCCCTGAGCTGGCTCCCCGGGAGACCCAAAAGCACAAGAAGGACCTTCACCCGCTGTTTGATGAGACCTTTGAATTGTGAGTGGGTCCCCACGCTTGCTGCGTGTCCCCAGGCCGGGGCCACCTCAGGCCTGCTCCTCCCCGCTGGGGCAAAGGGGCTTCCGGAAAGGACCGCACTGAGGTCCCAGGAAGGGGAACTTGGGACAAGGGGTTGCCAGCACAGGTCCCGAGGCTGGACGGTTGGGAGAAGACTCCCACATGTGACTTCCAGGCGAAGTCTTCTGTTCCAGGGACAGGCGGGCCTGGGGACACTGGGCCCCCTGGTTTAAAGCACCAGCTCGGAGACCGGGCGTCATGCCATGCGGCCCACACTTTGTAATCCTGCCCCAGCCGCCCCTCTGGGCATCCTTCCCCCGGCCCAGCCCAAGGGACCAGGGGGTGAGCCCGTGTGGGGGGGGTGGCGTGCAGTGGCAGTGTGGGGCGCGGGCAGCTGAGCCCAACTGTCCCCCACCCAGCCTGGTGCCCGCTGAGCCGTGCCAGAAGGACGGGGCGTGCCTCCTGCTCACGGTGCTGGACCACGACACCCTGGGCGCCGATGACCTGGAGGGGGAGGCCTTCCTGCCACTGCGCTCGGTGTGCGGCCTGGGCGGGGCGGAGGAGCCCGGGGAGGCGCCTCAGACCCGCCTGCCCCTCACCTTCCCCACACCCAACGGTAGGCCTGAGCCTCGCGCTGGGGGTGCGGGGGAAGGGCAGGCTGTGAAGGCTCAGACAGGCCCCCAGAGAGGGGAGGGCGGGGCCAGAAGGACCACCCCCCCAGGGGCGGAGGCCGGTGGAGCCAGCAGTGGCTGGTGCTGGGTCTCGTCAGGAGCCCAGTGTCCTTCCAGCCGGGCCAAGTGGAGTGTGGCCTTCTCTGCGGGGGTGAGGTCGCCACAGTCACCCCGGGAGGGGGGCCGCTCTTGGCAGCAGGAGCAGGTCCCTCGTGTGTCCACTTACGGGCCAGTTCTACGCACCTGACACGTATTAACTGCCCCATCAGACAGATACTATCATTGCTGTTTTACAGATGAGTGAACTGAGGCACAAAGAGGCTAGCTAGCCGGCCTCAGGTTCTCGTACTAAAAGGAAGAGCTGCCACCAGAGGCACCTCTCAGCCTCTTGCGCTTTGACTGGGCCCTCGTGCCGGGGCCAGCGCCCTCGTGCCGGGGCGGGGCGGGTCTCCAGGCTCGTGCGTCAGGCTGTCCCGTCCCGTGAGCGTAGCTGATGTGGGTCCGTCACTGGTTTCCAGGTTGGCTGCAGGCGGGCAGTGCTGTCCCTGCGCTACCCAGGCCCCGCCCCTGCCCCGGAACCTGACCCCCAAACGCCTCTTTTCTCAGGGGACCCGATCCTGCAGCTGCTGGAGAGCCGGAAGGGTGATCGCGAGGCCCAGGTGTTTGTGAAGCTGCGGCGGCAGCGCGCCAAGCAGGCCTCCCAGCATGCCCCGCGGCTAGGGCGATAGCAGTGGAGGTTGGGTCCCTGGTGGGGACAGGCTTTCCTGGGACGTCTGGGTTGTCCCCACCACAGCACAGCCTTCCAGCCTGGCCTGACACTCGTTAGGGCCCTGCCAAGTGTGGGACCCCTTGCCCCAGGGGCAAGGCCCCCAGGGCGTGGGAATGCCATTTGCATATTTATGGTGATGGGGACACTATTTCCATATTTATACTCCCTCCGCCCTGCCTTCAGCCTTGGCCTCAGCATTCCCTGCCAAACCCCAGCACGGGGGGTGGGGAAGGCCTCCACCTGCATCTCCCGCCCCTGCTCGGCCCCGGGAAAAGCTGCTCTGGCAAAGCCGGTTTCGGCCGTCTGTGCCCCGAGCACCTACCCCAGCCACAGGGTGGGGCCGGGCTGTGAGCACAGAGCCCCTCCTGGGGGAGGGGTGGGAAGTCGGACAAAGATGAGGCTACAGCTGCCCTGGGGGCGAGGAGAACCATAAAGAGGGGAGCCCGGGGCCTGTCCTGAGGGGGCTGCCAGCACCCAGGCTGGGAACCCCAGAGCCAGCCGGGGCCATCGGGCTCTGCTAGGTGAGAGCTGGCAGGCCGTGGGCTGGCCTGAAGACAGCAGCAGGAAGGACAGCTTGGCTCACCCTGTTGCCTGAGAACATCTCCTGGAGCCAGCACCTGCCACCTAGAAACTTTCTTGGCAAAAATAAAAGTCCCAAAGCACTGTCCTCTCAGTGAGCACACTGTTGGCTTATAGTGGGGCTCAGGTCAGGTCCTGCAACCCGTCCCCAGCCCCAGAGACTCCTTGGACCGCCCCACTCGGGCCCACCCTTCTCCCATGTTAGAGTGGTGTGGGGGTCACGCACGCACAAGCAGGTGCCGGTGCAGTTGGGGTCCCTGGTGCGTGGACCCAGGGCTTTGAACGAAACCATGCCCGGCCCACCTGTTCCTGTGGCTGCTGCCCTACACGGGCCTGGGACTCCGGGGGCAGCACCGTGAGTGAGCAGCCTGCCTGGAGGGGCGGGGCGGAGGCCTGTGTGCTGTCCATCACAGCCTGAGACCCAGGTGCCCTTCCACCCACAGCGTAGTCACCTCCCCTCTCGGAACCCGCACGAGCGCAACGTGTGGGGGCTCTGGATTATCTCCACGGCCCCGTGCAGCTTGGGACCTCAGAGACCCCCACCAGAGGGCAGCCCACAGCTGTGTTCCCGCACACCCACCTAACAGCAGGCCGGCCGAGAGCAGGGGGAGGGAAGAGGTGGCTGAGAGCCGGGGACCCTCTGCCCCCAGGGGGCAGGGGGCAAGGCACAGGCAGGCCAGCTCCTCTGGGGCCCACCTTTCCCTGTGTTCACGAGAAGGCACGGTCTGTTCCTCTGAGAACCACTAGGGGTCCTGCTGTCCTCTGGAAAATAGCAGACAAACCAGCGGCAGCTGTCCGTTGGGCCCACAAGGGGAGCGCGGTGGGCCAGGGGTCTCTGTCCAGGGCTCACGGTCCCAACGTCAGCCGCAGTGGGCCTGGCTCGGACAAGTACTGGAGCCTGGGGAGCCCCTGGGCCTCTGCGGCCACCTAGCCACACCTCAGGGGGCAGGGCACACGCTGTTTCTTGGGTGGGGGCAGAGTGCCCAGCCCGGGGGGGCCGGAGCCTGGGCTGGGACGGCCCAGCTGAGCCGGCCCGCCTCACCGCTCTGGGGCCTGAGCCCGCTTCACCGGAAGCACGCGAACAGGCTACCGCTGCAAGTTCATGTTTTATTTCCAATGGTTTTGGAGCTTTGTTGATTTTTGCATTTTTGTAAAAAAAGAAAGTTTTCACTTAATTCATTGAAAGCCCTTTCGTGCTGAGCCCAAGGGGGGGAGGGGCTGGGGCCAGACCCTCTGAAGCCCTCTGGCCCCCACCCCAGACACCAGCGCCGGGAGTGGGGTGGCTTCCCCCACCCACTCCGCCCTCCCGTCCCGCCGCATCTCTCTGTACAGAACGAGTTTTAGAATGGAAGCTAAAACACACTACACGTCGGACAGGCACGCACACACACGCACACGGGCGTCCACGCCGCACGGGGCGGGACGCCAGCTGCACTCGGAGAGCACCAAGGAATGCATACGGAGCCCCTCGGGGAGGGGGCAGGGCCTGAGCCCCTGGTCCTCACAGTCCGCAGACCCTCCCTACCGATTGCCCTGCTAGCTGCCAGAGGGAGGGGTGGGGGCACGGGGCGGGGGGCAGTGCCAGAAGAGGAGGGACTGCCGGGGGTGATAGATAGGGCAGTGCCAGCCTGGTGGGTGGCCCTGGGGCCAGGGAGGCTGCTCCCGAGACCTGGGGGAGAGGACTGAGGCCGAGCCCCGGCCTCAGGAACCCGAGGGGCTTCAAGGGCCCAGGGGTGGGAGCTCGGAGCGGGCTGCGGCCAGCCCCGAATTGAATACACGTCTGGTAAAGCTAGGACCTGGGCGGGCCCGGAGCCCTGGCACACCCTCGGGCCTCACTGCCAGGAGCCCGCAGGCCCCGCCTCCTGCCCTGGCCCGGGGAGGTGGGGTGAACAGGGCCTGCCCTGAAGGCTCGTCCCCTCCCCTCGGCCCGTCCAGCTTCCATCCTTCCCTGCTCAGGCCCCAAGAAGTTAAAAATAGTTAGTTCCTACATAAAAAAGAGAAACAGATCCCCTGCCAAAAGGCTGGTGGAAGAAGAGGGGAAGTGGGACAGGTAGGGAGTGGGCAGAGGGAGGACTGCAAAATAGTTGCTTCTTTTAAAAAGTGCTTGGTAAGTCTGTTTAAAGTGTGTGTCTATATCTGTGTCGAGATATACACACAGACACTGTTCACACTGGCCGCCCACGCACACCTGCATACGCACAGAATGTATACATATACATAATCATATACATATACATATACATGTACATACATACATACATACATACATATATATACTTTAAAAAGTCCTAGGTGGGAAGAGCTGAGCCAGGCCGGGGCCGGGCCCGCGGGGTCACGACTGCAGCGCGTGGGCCCGGCCCGGCTGGCAGACGGGGCACTCGCTGACCTCGGCGCACAGCTCGCACAGCACGGCGTGTTGGCACGGCAGCACCGCTCGGTTCTGCTCCTGACACTTAAGGCATTTCACCGACTGCATGTGGAACACGGCCTGCGGGGAGCGGGCGCCGAGGTCAGGGGCCTGGCCTGGGCGGGAGGAGGGCGCTGAGGCACAGAGCCCGCGGGGCTGCTCCCAGGCCCCCCTGCTCGGCAGCCCCCAGCCTGAGGGCTCTTCCTCACACTGGTCTCCTAGTGACCCCAGGTCCCCGGAGAGGGCAGTGGTGTGCCCGAGGCCACGGCCACAGGTGGGCTACGGTGCCGGAGGCCTGGGGAAGGAAGGACCGTTCCTCCCACGGTGCGAGGCCCCGGGGGCCCAGCCGGTCTGCAGCGTCTGCGTGTTGTGCAGCGCAGAGAGCCCGGCAAGGCTAGCGTGGCTCAGGCTCGGGGCACACCCACCTTCCCAGGTGCCCCTTCTCACCACCCCCGGGCGTGGCGTGCTCTCCCTCGCTCCCCGCCAGCTGCCGGGCAGGGGCTCGCAGGGGGAGGGCGGCCGGCCCCACAGCAGTGTGGGCCCCCTGCAGCCCAGCCCTCGCTGTGGCCGCGTACACCCCCACCCAGGGCTTCCCGGCCCTCCGGGCTGACCTTGTCCACCTGCTCCAGGCGGGCCCGCAGCTGCTTCTGGAGGGAGTAGAGGGTGGAGAGCGAGAGGGCCTCCAGGTCGGAGAAGGCGGGCAGGGCCTGCGGGTCGGGCCCCGAGTGCAGCCGCTCCAGCTCCTCCTTCAGCTTCTTCACCTGCACCTCCAGGGCGTCCCGCTGCTCGCGGGCCAGCTCGCACTCGGCGCCGGCCGTGCTGGCCCGCTCCCCGGCCTCCTCTGCCTCCTTCTTCCAGGCATCACAAGCCTGTGGGCCAAACACGCAGAGTGCGTCATGGGGGCCCCCCGCCCCCGCCCAGGGCACATCTCTGGGAGCCCGCCGAGCCACTGTGGCTGTGGGGCCCGCTTGCAGCAGGCCAGCAGTCCAGGGAGGAGGCAGGGAGGCGGCTGACACTGTCTGCAGAGAGGAGAGGTTTCAGGAGCTGCAAGAGACCCTCTGTGGGCAGGGAAGGGGGCAGAGCCTGGCTGGAGGGCCCACCCTCGAACCAAGAACCCTGACTTGAGCCCTGGAGAGTCAGGGCTTCTTGGGAGAGGCCAGTGGTGCCTGGGACCGGACCACATAAACAGCTCGCAGAGTCCCAGGTCTGGGACACCAGCCACCCCGGGGCCCGACAGGGGAAGGAGAACAAAACCGAGTTTCTGCTCTGTTCTCCAGGACCCTGGCTTCCCCCACTCCCTGTGCCCCGTACCTGCTTGGCCTGCTTCCAGGACTCCTCCCACTGCTTGATGGTGCCGTTGGCTTCGTCCAGCTCTTGCTGAAGCCGGGCCAGCTCGGCAGCCCCTGGCCCCGACAGGAAGGCAGGGGAAGTGCCCGGGGAGAAGCTTCCAGAGGCAAAGTGTTCCCAGATGCTGCTGTTCATCCCATTCAGACCTGCCCAGGAAGGAGAGGAGCATCAGTGCCCTGGAGGGCCCTGCCCTGCCCGCCCGGGGCTCCGGGGGCCGCTGCGCGAGGCATGGCGGCGTCAGGCGGAGCCCGTGCGGGGGTGTGTAGGTGCTGCAGTCGAGTCAGACCTGCTGTGTTGCCATCTGCTACCTGTCGGCTGCCACTTAAATTCTGAGTCTCAAGATCCTCATCCACCAAACAGGGTGACCCAGGGGCTGGGGGAGAGCTGTGGGGGAGCTGCCTGTGAAAGGGGTGATCGTGGAGCCCTGAGGCTGGGTGGAGCGGAGCTTTCTCGCACCCTGGGGTGGGGCCCGGGAGGAGGTTCAGGAGAACGACGGGCCGGAGCCTCGGGTGACGGCAGAGCTGGAGCGGCAAGAGCTCCAGGGGCCCAGGCCCGCCCCCATGTGGTGACAGGAAGTGGAACCAGGACCCAGCCAGGCCATCTGAGCACCCCCGGCCACTCTCTCCCGTCGGCCGCACGGCACGCTCACGTGCTGCCCACCGATGTCTGCGGACACTGCTCACGCCCTGCTCTGTGGCCCTCAGGGCAGCCCCCACCTTCCAGAGCAGGGCCCACACCCACCTCCGCCCTTGTTCTGCCCACCGCATTGTCCTAGTGACGTCTTCCCGGCTTCCTTTCCCACCAATCCAGCCAGGACGCTCCGGAACCCAGTGGATTTAGGACAGTGCCGCCTAAGAAACACTGGTGCACCCACAACATGACGGACGGGTCCTGGGTGGAGAGCATGCGGTGTGTGCTGTCTCCGAGTCCACCTGACTTGTCCTGGAGGTGGGGGCCCAAGGCCACCTCCCCAGCATACCGTCCCAGCCACAAGCTCTGCCTGAACACCTCTCCACACCCAGGTGGCATTTAATCTCTTGGAGAGGAGCCACCCCTCAGAGACGGCCCTCCTGACCACATCTAGGTGAGGTTCCTTGTTACTCTGAACCCCAGCCCCAGCCCTCTGACTCCACGCAGCAGCCCCAAGTATGAGCTAATGTCTGGCCCCCTGCCGCCCCCAGGGGCCATGGTGCCACGTCAGCAGGCACTGCTGAGCTCATACTGTACCTATAAAACTGCTCAATAGCCACACGGAGAAGGAGTGGATGTGTGGCGAGTAAGCCTCCGCCATATGGGACAAGTCAGACAAATAGAAGACGAAGCATTTGAGCCCTGGCTGGTGTGGCTCAGTGGACCGAGCACCGGCCTGTGAACCAAAGGGTTGCCGGTTCAACTCCCAGTCAGGGCACATGCCCACACTGCATGCCAGGTCCCCAGTACGAGGCATGTGAGAGGCAACCACACATGGATGTTTCTCTCCCTCTTTCTCCCTCCCTTCCCCTCTCTCTCTAAAAAAAAAAAAAAAAGACATTTTAAGCTGTCGGTGTCACCACAAATCAGAAGGATGCGCGGGGACACACAGCACAGCACAGCACAGGGAGTGCAGGCGATGCTGCTGCAGTGACCGCGTGCAGTGCAGGCCGAGTGGGGCCGAACTGTCGGGGGTCGCTGCACAGTGTCCGGTCGTCGCACCACTATGCTGCGCACCTGAAACCCACAGTGTCCACTGTAACTGGAAAAAGACCCAACACACCTGAAAGGGGCTGAGACGTCCCTGTGCTGCCCTGACCTCTGGAGGGAGACGGGGAAGGCCCCACCCAGCCTGGTGAGAGTCAGTGGCTCAGTGCGACCTGGACGTCCCGCACCCTCCGGGGAGGGATTTCCAAGCTCCCCGGACAGCAGCAGGGTGCGGAAGTAAGAGGAGCCACTGCTGTTCGTGGAGAGGCAGCGGGCTGGGCGCTTGCTGTTTCGCCATCCTTGCTGTTGCCTCAGTGCACAGTCAAGCCAGCGCCCGCACTCGAGGAGATGAGGACCCTGCACGTGGCAGGTAGCGGAGCCTGCAGGCCTGTGTGCCACACTCTAACAACTAGGCCTGGCCTGCAAGAAGGCCACCCCGAGCCTGGGCTGTGCCATTCAGACCTCCCCCTCGGCCTCCTGCGAACCTGGCTGCAGCCCGCCCGCCTCCGGGAGCCCCGGGTACCTGGGGGAACTGGCACCCTGGCGCCAAGAGCAGAAGCGGGCTCCGGCGGCTCTGAGCAGCCATGTCTCGCCGCGCACCGGCCCTGTGCCTCGCCCTTCACCCGAGCCTCACCGCCACTTCCGAGGCGGTGCTGCCGCCACACCCGTCTCACAGCAGAAAGGAAGGCCGGGAGGCTGAGTCGCTCGTCCAAGACCACACAGTAAGGGAGTTGTGGGACAGAGCCCTGGCCCTCCCCCAGCGCCCGAGCCCCGCCCTCACCGCCTCCCTGCTCTGCTCTGGCCGTGGACAGAGGCCCAGGCACTCGCCAAAGCCCAGGTTCCCGCCCCAGGTCTCAGCGAGCCGCGCCCACGCTCACCCAAGGACCCATGGGATGCCGAGGTCCCCAAAAACGTGTTTTCTGACTGGCTCAGGTGGGCCTGGGGCTGCTGCAGGAAATGCGAGGAGAGGCTGACCGGAGGGGACGGGGACGCCGAGTGGAAGGAGGCCGAGCTGCCCAGGGAGCCGGGGATGTTCACGGGAGCAGAGCTCTGCAGCAGACTGCCACCTGCGCGGGGGCCAGGGGGCGGGCCGGGTGAGGGCAGGCAGCCACGCGGGGCGGCCAGGCAGGGGGCTGCTGCACCCCACCCCCCACCCCGGGCCGGGCGGACCCCCGGGTGCCCTCCCACACCGCCCTGCCCGCCCGCAACCCAGTACCGATTGTGATGCTGCCCGGGTGGGGAACTGTGCTGTTGTCGAAAGTCTTCTCCAGGGCTGCCACCCCGAACTCGTTCAGGTCCAGGTCGTCCAGGGCAGACTCTAGGGGCAGAGCGACCAGGGTCTGAGCCTCCCAGCCTCTGGGGGCGCAGACCCCGCAGTCCCAGGCCTCACCGCACGGACCCGCCTGCCCCTCACGACCCGTTTCCTGCCCCACCTCCTCTCCACGCTCGGGTCTCACTGGGCTGCTCCTCTCTCGAGCCTCTGCCCCTGCCCCTGCCCGGCCGCTCCTCTGCCACACCAACCCCGACGCCCCGCCAAGTCCAGCTCGGACGGCTCTGCTCTCTGAGGCCTGCTCTGACGCCCCAGGGGGAACCCAGGCCTGGCTGGGGTTCCTGCCTCGGACGGAGGCCTCGCCTCCTGACGCTAGGGTGCGTGTCTCGTCCCGGCGCCCGCCCAGGGCAGGCCCGTCTCTGGGCCATCAGCGGCCAACGAGCAACAGAAGCCTGACAAATGCCGCTGCGCTCTGCGGAGCTGGGCCGCGGGTGGGAGCAGTGCCCCTCCCTGAGGTCGAGGACAAGGTCCCCGTGCCGCACGCCCGGTCTCTGCACGAGGACCCGGCACAAAGCGGCCGCTGACAGAGAAGAGCAGCGGCTTCCGCGGCCAGGAAGGCTGAGGGCAGCCGTGCGGGGAGCGGGAACCGAAGGATGCGCATCGGGGACGAGGATGCGCGTCGGGGACGAGACCGCACGTGCCCGGGGAGGGGCACCTCTGGTCTGCTGTGAGGGCAGGTCTCGGCCCGACACCCTGGGTCCGCACCCCCTCCGCTCAACAGCCCGGGTGCCGACCCTGGCTCCCTCCAGTCGGACGGCTAATGTGGCCACGTGCTGGTCCGAGTCTCACTCCAGAGACCTAGCGTCTCTGACGCCAGCCCCAGTCCTGGACTCGGCAACGGAAACGGCCTGATTACCTATGACCGACTCTACCGTGTCGCTGGTGGGGTAGAAGGGCAGAGCATTTGCGTTCATGCCAGGGACGCTGCTGGTGCCCGCAGGGCTAGGGGGAGTAGCTGCCAGGCTGGAGGTGATGCTAGAAGAGATGCTTGAGGTCAGGGGGCTGCCCACGGGGGGGAGGAGGCCCAGCATGTCCTGCAACGAGAGAGCGAGGAGAGGCGATGGGATGCCCGCCCGGAAGGCCAGGGGCTGGCGACGGGGGTGGGTAGGGCAGAAGGAAACGGGGCACCCCCGGCCTTGTCTGGGTGCCCCCATGCCCACATGGGGCCCTGCCCACTCAACACCTAGTTGAGAGAGAGGCTGAAGTTGGAGGGGTGCGGCTAGGAGGCTGCAGGGCCCACTCACCCCACCATCCTGCACCGGGTGGGGAGCAGTGAGTCCAGGGCCTGGTGTAGTGCAGACGCTCAATACGTAATCTGTGCCGGGCTGATGGGTGAGTCTGGGGGGAGGGCTCCAGGGCCTGACCTACCCTCTCTGGACTGGGGCCAGGGCCCCCCTTAGTCCTGCCCTCGGCTTGTGAGGGAAGCACGCCCCCCACTCTGCAGCCTCCTGGGGTTCTGGGCCCGGCCCGTGCACAGCAGATGCCAGAAGGGGGCTGAGAATCCGGTACCTGTTTGGGCTGAAGCAGAGGCTGCTCTTGACTCCTGGGCTCCAGTGAGTGGGGTTTTAACTTGGCCTGAGAGCAGAAGGTTCGAGAGCAGGGGGCGAGTGTGAGGCTAGCAGAGCCCAGGCCCCCCAACCTGCCACGGCTCACGGAGGCTGCCGGCGCCAGGGGCCAGGCACCCGCAGACCCCTGCATGCACGTGCACCTGCTCCCCTCCACCACCCTGGGGACCACGGGGTGGCTCCTCCCCGCCGACCCCAGGCCTCAGACGAGCTCGTCAGGGACAGCGTCTGCCCCGCCCAGAGCCCTGCCATGTCAAGGTGGCACAGGGCACGGAAGGGACCAGACACGGGGTTAGGAGGCCAGGGTGGGCGCCCCGGCTGCTCCTGGGGCCGCTGTGACGCCGGGTGGGGCGCTCAGCCTCTCCGGCCTGCCCGTCTCTGCCTGTGGGACGGGAGGCCTCGCTCACTGTGCTCAGGCTCCAAGGGGCCAGGGACAGGGGCTGCCCGGAGCAGGACAGCCTCCGCGGCGCGGAGAGGGCGGGCCCCACCGTACTGCTCTTCTCATCCCTTACCTGGCATTTGAAATTTTTCAGGAACTCGGCTCCCACCTGGTCTTCCCTCTCGAAGCCAGGAGCCTTCTTATAGCTGCCGGGGGCGAGGCCGGACTCCCCAGGGAAGACGATGCCCTCCAGGTTCGGGGGCTTCCTCAGGGAGCCCGGCGGGGAGCCGCAGAGGTTCGACGGGCTGCCTAGGCTGCTGTTTCTACAGAGGAGCTGCGGAGAAGGGGGGGAGTGGGCCGGCGGGCGATGCACAGGCTGGGGCGCCGCCCACCCTCCAGCCCCTCCTCGGGGGGCGCTTCTTCAGCAGCCTGGGAAACGCCTTCCGTTTCCCCTGCCAACGGGCACAGCTGCCGCCCAGGAGACCCAGAACCTCGTGAGGGAACCCTGTGTGTGTGGGGGGGGGGGGTGGCGACAGAAGGCTTTATCATCCCTTCTCCCCACTCTACCCAGGCTAACGTAGGCTCTGGGGACACTGACCACCCTCCTCCCACTTCACAGAGAAAAGAACCCTGGGCAGAAAGGGCGGAACCCCAAGGCTTCCCCCAAGCACAGGCTCATGGGGGCGGGGGGTGCGAGAAGCAGGGGCTGGCTCCCAGGCGGGCCCCCGGATGGGCACGTACGGCGCTGAGGTCGGGGGCGTGCGGGCTGGAGGGGCTCACGGGCACCGAGTCCCCGGCGGCCGACGGCATGTACAGGACGGGGCCCGGCTGGGTGGGGCTGGGCACGGCGGAGGGGGGCTGCAGGTCCTCGCCGAGGGGAGGCTCTGCAAGAGACGGCGGCCGAGTGTCCACAGGCTCCCGAGCCAGAAGGGCCTCTGGGACCCTGCATCACCCTGTACGTAAAGGGAAGGCTCCTGCCTTGTTTCTATTAATACTGTGCACCCAGCACTTACTGGGTGCCACGCGAGCAGCACTAATTGTGACTCTCCAGTGACTGGAAGACACAAGTGACCTCACGGTCTCCACTTTACAGACAAGGCACCTGGGGCTCAGAGAGACAAGGTGAGTCTCCCAAGGGGACAGAACCCAGAAACAGAAGAACTGGGATTCAAACCCCGACCTGCACAACTCCGAAGCCTGAACCGTGCATGGGTTCTCTGTGCTGCCTCCACCGGCGGTCCCAGTGCCCAAGGCTGGGGACCACCTCCGTGCCGAGAACACCTTCCCTCTCCCCGGGCCCTCAGTCCACCTGCCACTCTAACTCCGGGGAGGTCTGGGCCTGGGGAGAGGCGAAGGGCAGCCAGAGCGGTGGCTCGGGGGGACACAGGCTGGGACACAAGCCCCGTCTGCGACGGGCAGTGGCGGCCTGGAGGGCAGCGTGCGGCGTGGGGCAGCACCGTCCGGTGCGGCAGCCCCGGGCCACGCGGGGCTGGGGGCACTCAGGACGCGGCTGCTCTAAACTGAGGCGTGCAGCAGCTGTTCCAACACCCGCTTTCCAGGACAGTTTGAAAAAAGCAGTAAAATGTCGTGATGGTTTTCTGTATGGTTTTTGAAATACCACTTTACAGTGGAGTAAATAAAGACACGTTCAAGTTAATTTAGCCTATTTGTTTTGCTTACTTTCATGTGGTGCCTAGAGTATCTAAAGCGATACAGGCAAGCTGCATCATTTTGACTGGACAGCTCTGCCCTCAGCAGGGCTCAGCACGGCAGGGCGCCGCATTCAGTGCGCTGTCTGCCATGCGTGTGGCCTGGGGTGGCGGCTGGGACCTGCCTAGTGGGCTCTGGGGGGGTGCCCCCCGCCCCCGAGCCTCAGCAGAGGGTGGGGGAGGGGAGGGCGGAGAGGACACGCCTCAGGTCAGTGGGGGCAGCTTACGTTCTACGTGGGCAAAGGCGCAGAAGGGTCCTCGGGGACAGCTGCCCGACTGCTGCATGTCGTTGCACTTGGTGGATTTATAGATCTGGAGGGACAGGGCAGAGCAGAGGCAGCTCAGGCTGGGGCCCAGAGGGCCAGGCAGGCACAGCCTCCAGCGTGGGCGGTCCGCTTACTAACGGGCCCCTTTCTCCTCCCTGTTCCACACTGCTACTCTGAGAGCTACTCTGCCCTGCCAACTGCCTGCTCAGACCCTGAGGCAGACACTGCTGCCCCTGTTGGAGGATGCCCCCGCTCCTGGGGTCAGGGGTCCAACCAGCCCTGACGCAGCCCTCAGAGAGAGTCTGTCCACGCTGCTTCACACCCAGGGCCTTGTCTTGGCCAGAGCTGCAACCTCCGAACCCACCTCTGGGCACTCGGAAGGCCAAGGTCACAGGCAGCCTGGGCGGGGGTCTAGGTTGGGACCTACACTCAGCCAACTTTCTTAAAAATTTATTTAGTTATCTTTGGAGGGGGGAAGGAGGGAGAAAAACATCAATGTGTGGTTGCCTGCTGCACGCCCCCCCACACCTGGGGACCTGGCCCACAATCCAGGCATGTGCCCTGACTGGGAATCGAACCAGCGACCCTGTGGTTCGAAGCCCGGAGCTCAGTCCACTGAGCCGCACCAGCCAGCTTGGTCTAAGTCTCCACCCTGCTGTCCACAGTCCCTGTAAGGCAACCTGTTCACGTGCCCACTGCAGCGTGTCCTGGTCTCCATGCAACCAGGGGAAGGGACAGCATGTGCTTCTAGGCACCTGACACAAGATCTCGGGACACGGAACATGGCTCAGGGCACACCCCAGGGCCAGCGGGCTGGGGAACCGTGGCAGGGAGGCCACTTGTACCCTAGGCTCCGGTCTGGAACAGGGCAACTGTTCAGGGCTGTCTTATTTTTTCATCTGGGCGTCCCTGGATTATAACCACCACGAGTAATGCAAGAGCGGCCAGGGCACTGGGCCGAGTCCAGGCCCCCTCTGCTGGAGGCTGGGGGAGGGCTGGGAACAGAGGGCTGCGTGGTGAGCGTGGGCGCAAACGGGAGAAGCTGCCAGGTGAAGGAGCGGGGCTCCTTCAGGCATTGCTGGCTGGGGAGCCTGTGGCTCCGAGTCCCTCTGCCAGGATGGAGGGAGTCCAGACGGGCTCTGCCTAGCGGCCGCCCGCCCCCCAAAGACCCGCCCGGCCCCCAGGCCCACCTCCGGGTGGAACTGCTGCTCCGTGCGCGTGTGGCAGTACTGGCAGGCGTCCCCGTTCTCACACTTGCCGGGGTCTCCCCACTCATCCCCGTGCTTCACGTTTGGACACGGTGATGACCTGGTCCAAAGAGAGGGCGGGGTCACATGGGTGTCAGGGGGGCGATCAGGACCTGGGGGGCGCCAACGAGACGAGACCCCAGCCCCACAGGCCGGAAGCCTGGCTGTGCGGTGACCGCCACCACCCTTTCTGCACATGGCATGGCCCCACATCCTCATGCCAGGAGAGGAGGATCCCGCAGGCCCCCCAGAGCTCTGCCATTCTGACTGCCCCCCCCCCACCCCGTACCCGGGCCTCCCTGCATCCCTGCGAGCGAAATGGGGGCAGCCTCTGCCAGGACCCACCCCCCAGCCCCGTCCCCCTACGGCTGACCTGTATTTGTGTTTCCGGGGGCTCCGCCGCCGGTCCTTGCTGTTGTGGTAGTAGGGGCAGGCGTAGCCCTGGCGGCACAGCCTCGGGGGCTTCTTGCAGGGCTCCGTCTTGTAGTTCCCCAGCACATACGCGGTCTCTGCGCAGGGGCCAGAGGCAGGGGTGAGGTGGGTGGGGTGGGGGGCAGGAAGGAGGAGCCGCTGGGAAGGGTCTGGGAGCGGAGGCTTCCATGAGGTATACGCAGGGACGCCCTTCCACAGGCCAAAGTCAGGCCCGAGACAGCCCAGGGGAGAGAGAGGGTGGATGCTGTCCTCCGCCTTCTGGGGGCGCTCTCAGCTCCCAGGGTACAGAGGGTGCCCTGAGGAGGTTCAAGAACACACACACTTGCACTTCTTTACATGCACAAGTATGTATGTCTGGAAGCCCTGAGAAATTTGGGGTGCAACTGGGATGATGGGAACAGGGCAAGGTGCGTCTGGGGAACCCCCCTAGTAACTCCCCTGACCCCCCGACAGTGTTTGGCTGGATGCAAGGCGGAGCTGTCCCCGCCTCCCAGCAGGGGTGGCGTGAGCCACGTCCTTGGGGCAGCTCTGGGCGGGGCAGGGGTGGGGACAAACGCCCAGCAGGAGCCTGGCCACCTTCACCTTGCCACCTCGGCTCTTCACCAAGGATCTTCTCTATCATGGCATGGCTTGCAGCCCCAGCGGACGGGCCCTCTGTGCTGCCTTCCACCGTGGGCTGTCCATTCTGCAAGGCCTCCATGGCCTGCAGCTCCCTGGGAGGAGAAGACAGAGAGCTCAGGGAAGGGGCATGAGGGGAGGAGCCGGGGCACTGGCCCTGCGCTCTATGCGTGGTGCTCACCGCGTGGGCAGCCAGACCCCCACCCAGTCCACAGCCGTCGGCCCAGCGCTGCAGCCAGCCCACCTGATGTCGTAGACAGGGGAGCGGAGGTCATGGGGCCCGTGGGCGAAAGCGCAGTGCAGGCCGTTTTTGGTGCAGTTGCCTTTTGAGTCCGTCTCGTGGATGCAGATTCCAGTTTTGTAGTAGCGCAGGTGGTACCTGCGTTCAGTGTCCCCTGTGGTCCTGTGCAGGAACGGGCACCTGCGACACGGAAGTGGGGGTGGTCACTTACCAGGCCCCTGCAGCCTGGGCTCCCAGCCCCGCCCTCCCCTGGGATCGGTCAGTGCGCCGGTGGTGGGTCGAGGAGGCAGGCAGTGACGAGTCCTGCAGAGGCACGGAGCCACCCCCACGCCAGTCCGTGCCGCAGCCTGAAGGGGACCCAGGAGGGCCTGGCAGTCCGGCTTCAGCCCGCTCAGCACGTCCCCCTAGAGGCTGTCCCGAAAAGCAGCTCTGGGAGGGGCGGGCACCCCTGGGAGAAGACACGCTGCTCAGACCAGGGGTCCCGGAGGAGCAAAGGCCTCGAGTGTGCCCTGAGGGTGTCATTGGGCTGGGAGGGGGTCAGCAAGCTGTGACCTCTGTGAGAGGCGTGCTGGTGCGGGGATGGGTGAGTCGCGCCCAGGGGAGCCACCGCTGCGAGGCTGAAACACTGGAATGATGGGGTCAGCGAATGTCCCCTCTCACGGAGGTTCCTCGGTTTGCCACCTCCGTGTTGTGGGTTTTCCAAGAGCACGGTGGTAAAATCTTTAGGGTCAGCAACACGGGGGACTGGAGAGGCTGTGTCTCTGCCTCGCCCTGCGCGGAACTGGGACGGGTAGAGGCAGGCTGTGGAGAGGGTCCTAGGGACCTGCAGGGGACCGTGACTGAAGACCCAGGAAGCCCCTCTGGTTTGGAGATGGGGCCCTTAGGCTCAGCAGAGGAGAGGCCTGTGCAGGGCTCCCCGTGAGTGCGGAAAGGAGGATGGGCCCCCCCGGAGGCTGCAGGGTCTGAGCGCAGGGCCAGGCTGCAGAGCAGCCCCACAGCAGCCTCAGCTGGCCGCTCAGGCTTTGCCAGGCCTCCGCTGAGGGCCCGCGGCCCAGGAGACGCGGGGCTCCCCGCCGAGGGCAGGCTGGAGGACACTCACTCGTCGCCCTCCGGGCAGAGGCCCGTGGCCTCGTCGTACTTGGTGCAGTAGACGTCGGGGCTGTAGTTGAACGTGCCGTCCCGACGGCGGATGGAGCGGCGGCGGCGCTGGTTCACGAAGTGCCAGTGGAAGCAGGTGTAGGGCCGATGCTGCGTGCATTTGTGCTGCACGAAGAGCGGGCACTGCTCCGTGCGGAACTCCTTCAGGTACCTGCAGGGACAGCCCCACGGTTGGCGCGCCGGGAGCAGAGAACGAAGCCCCTCGTTTCCCAGCAAGAAGCTGGCCGCCAGAGTCCCCCGAGGGCCCTGTTCTGGGGTGCTAGTTTCAGGGCGACACTGGAGGAGGCCCAGAGCAAAGGCTGGACCTCAGCATGTGGCTCTCTCCCCTGCCCAGGTCCTAAGACAGCCTGAAGGGCAGGAGCCATAGACCACAGGCTCTCAGCGGTCAGCTGCCTGCCATGTGACCCGTGGAGGGTTTAATTAGTGGCCTGTTCTCTGAGCCCTCCCTGAGGTCTCCCAGCAGCAAGGGCTGCAAGCAAGAGCTTGCAGAACCCCCCCGGACCTTCCCTCGGGAATCTCTGCTGCCCGGGTCTGCCTGCCGATTTCGGAGTCCTCACCCCGTCCCAGAAGCAGTGCTGGGCCCCAGGAGGCTGCTGCTTTTGAGCTCAAAGCCCAGGTCACAGGTGTCCCTCTGGACTCCTGACTCACATCATTACTGCCCTTCCTACCTCCCCCCAGACACATCTCCTTGCACGACCCAGGTAAGCGTTTGCGAAGGAGCTCACAGTAGAAAGAAGCATCTAAAGAGAATCTCCCTCTCGGCCTGGCCTGCCCCGAGCCATCTCACAGATGAGCACCCGCAGCAGCTGGGGCCATCACATCCTGGCTGACCCGGGGACCTAGGGGCTCTGCCTGTTCCTATGGCCTCCCCCCGACCTCCGCCTGCCTCCTTTGCTCTGCATGTGACAGCCAAGATGCCCCCAGAGTTCCTCTCCCAGGCCCCACCCCCTGGAGCGCCCCAGAGCCGCTTATCCCGTCACAAAACATAGCACCCACCCGTCTCTGTCCCCCCCCGCCGGCCCCCGTGTCTGTGCAGAGGGTTTCTCAGATCTGCCCCTGCCCCCCAGGGAAATAGGCAAGCAATGCGGTTCTCTTCATCCCCTCACGCCCTAACCATGCAGGCAACAAACAGCTGGGTAGAGCATGTGAGGCCAGTGAGGAGGAGGATGCTTCTAGAAGGTGCAGAAGAGAGTGCGGAAGGAGCTACAAACTGACCTGAAACAACGGTCTAGGTTTAGAGGACACGGGTCAAAGGCCAGAGGGTCCAGCTCACACCTTCGGCTCATGCCAGGATACCCTGGGCCCATGGGAGGTGTGGGGGCAGGTGGGCCCAGGGCTGAGACTGCAGACAGGTTTTCTTCAATGGTAGTAAAAAGTGTGGGGAAGTGTCTGGGGTGCGGGAGCAGGGAGCAGGGCAGGGGCCGGGCGCTCCCTGAGGAACACAGGGGTGTCCGGGGCATGTCCAGATGGGGCTGTCCAGGGCAGTGAAGTCTCCAAATGGAGCCCTGTGTCCACTCAGCACACCTTTGGCACCTACTAGGTCCAGGCACAGCGGTGGGCACCGAGGACACGGACGAAGCAGGCGCTTGTCCTCAGAAAGCCCGTTTCCACGGGAGAGACGCCAGGAGCAGGTGGAACCAACCGAGTGCGGGGAGAGTCACGAGGTAGGTTCGCGCTGGGCAGTCTGGGAACCTAGCGTTAGGACCCCGGCCCCAGGGAGCTTGCAGTGGGGAGAGGGGCAGGGAGGGGCTTGTGGGTGAAGAGTATGGGAAGGGGTGTTTCAGGCACAGGGCACGGTATGAGCTTAGGAACAGTACGTCTGGGTCCGAGAGCTCCAGCACCCTTGTGGGATGTGAATGGGGTAGGAGAGGAACCGGAAAGGGGGAGGGGGAGGTGAGGTGCAGGCGGAGCCAAATTTCAGGGATGCCGTGGCCAGGGCCCAGGCGCATTCTGAGATGCCGGGTAGAAGCCCCCGAGGCTCCCTCGGCCTGGGGCTCCCCTGGTCGCTCTGGCACTGGGACACGAGGCCGGGACTCGAGGTCCGTCCCCATCTCCCGTCTGCGTGCACAGAAAGTTGCACCTAGTGCTGTACAGAGGCGCCACACCCTGGCACTGAGTGAGGACGCCCTTCCCCGACACTAGGCTGGGCCCTCCGGGGCAGCACACACTCCCCCGACTTTGGACCCACGAGGAGACCGACTCTGGAAGAAAGGGGTGGGGGGAGTGGGGGGGACGCAGGCTGGGCCCGGGCTGGGAGCAGAGAACGAGGGCCAGGACCGCCCGCTTCCACGGCGGCAGTCGGTAAACACAACTCAGGTAAACAAGACCCGTTGGCACGCGCTGAAAAATTACTCATCGTTTATCTGACACTCCGATCTAGCTGGTGTCCGTGCCTCAGCCGACAGCCGGAGAGGTGACAGGGAAGAACTCAGGAAGAACTAGAGTCCTCCCGACTCCGGGCACGGCCCGCCCCGCTGGGGAAAGGAGGGTCCTGGCGAGCCCACTCCCTGGGGCAGCCCTGTCTGCGGTGCCCGTGCAGGACGCCAGGGCTCCCCGGCGTCCCACCTGACGGGAGCACCCCAGGGGACAGACACAGGGGCAACAAACGACACCGTTTTAAGCCTCTTCATTTCCACTCCCACAGCTCAGGGACCCGGTTCCTTTTAGTAAACCGGTCTTCCGGCCTCTCCTCCGTCTGTCTAGTTTACCCTGTATAGTCCTACTACTCTTCTGGGAGCCCAAGCTTAACCCTCACCTTATTAAAAGCCTTCAGCTTCCCCCGGTTGCCACCGATAAGCAAATCGAGAGCCTGGAACCCCAGGCCCTGCTCGCCTGGCCCGGGGTCCTTCCCCAGCCTCATTCCGCGGGACCCCTCTCCGTTCCTGCCGCTCACAACTGCGGTCCTTGCGAACAGAGGGCCTCCCCTCTCCCTGCCCCACCCCGCCTGTGCTCGCATGCCCTTCCTCACCTGCAGAAATCTTCCAAGGCTGAATCCCGTGGTAACGAGTCTTCTGATGCTACCACCTCGAGGCCTTCCCTGGCCTCGTCCCCTCCTGCCCTGTCATCAGCGAAAAGTTACCATCTCTGAGGTTTTTGCAGCACTTTCTCTCGACATTCCTCACAGCTCTTATCCTGCACTGCATATTAGTTAGTAACGTGTATGGTTTTCCCTAATACTGGAGTATAAAGTCCTTGGTGCCAGGCACATAAGAACCCAGGACAGGCCCGGCTGGTGTGGCTCAGTGGACTGAGCACTGGCCTGAGAACCAAAGGGTCCCCCATTCGATCCCCAGGCAGGGCACAGGCCTGGGTTATGGGCCAGGTCCCCAGTAGGGGGCGTGCAAGAGGCAACCACACACTGACATTTCCCTCTCTTTCTTCCTCTCTAAAATAAATAAAACCTAAAAAAAAAAAAAAAGACCCCAGTACACTGACAAAGTTGACTATTACAAGAAATAAAAATGTCTCAGAAAGAGCGAAGTCCACAAAACAATCCCAACAGTTCCGGACGCTGCCGGCAGGGCAGAGCCTGCCCGCTGGAGCCTGGCCCCGGGCCCCGGGCCCTGGCGGAAGGCACTGCAGAGCAGGGAACCTGACACCTGGCCGAGAGGACACCCCAACCTGCGGAAAGCCCCTCGTGAGCAAGGGGGTGGGACGACCGGATCCGGGTGGCAGAGAGAGCCCGCTTTCAACCAACCACAACTAGATGAAAGAAATGAAGGAACTCTGAACTTTGCATCGTTCACGAAACTTACCACCCACCACCCAGGAGCCGACGCTGGGTCCGAGTCTCCTGTGCTCCCCTCAACCGTGTGGCACCGGGCGACACGGTGCCCATGAGGCAAGGAGAAAACCACTTACAGATCACTCTTTTGTGTTTTCATGGACTGAAGTGAACATAAATTTCCAGTGAAAACGCTGAACTGTCTCCATGAAACTCCACCCCACCTCCCCACTTCAAAGGCGTGAAAGCTCAGCACGGACAAACTGACGGGCAGAGGCGCCTGGGAAACAAGCCCCGGGGTCCAGCGGAGAAGGGAAGTCTCCACGATCTGGGGGTTGGGGGCACGGGCCCAGTCTCCCGAGCGGACACCCACAAGCCCGAGGAGAGAAGCCAGTGAACCTAGACTGGCTCCAAGCTGAGAGGCCTCAGTGACCCGCTGCGGCCAGGACCGAGGTAAGAAACCACTCAGGCCCCGAGTGAGGGAGGGCCGTCGGAGAGAGCCGGGCCGGGCCGTGGGCCAGTGAAGGGCTCCCCAGAGCTCGGGCCCTGCCGCTGGCCGGGGCTCCGCCCTCGCACTCACTCTGCGACGGCCGACTTCCCATCAGTCGTCCCCAACTCCTTCCAGGACACGGCATTGACTATCTTACAGTTTACTGACCAATGCGAAACATTATTATAAAAGTAACGTGCCCCCTTGAAGGGCAAAATCACCCTTTTTGGTAAAATTTCTCCCAGTATTTATTTTTACACAGGTAGCATCATAAAGTGCTACACTGCTTTACAGAACTATTCATACTTTTCTCTAAAAACTTTAAAAATAAAATATGGGCGTCTAGGGTTTTTTTAAATAAAAATCAAATAATACTTTCAACATTTATTGGATTATCTTCTGAAATTCTAAGTAACAGCCAAAGCCAGGCTACTTGAAATCTAAATTAAATCACTAGCACCCTACACCAACAGTGATGACACAGCAGAGAGTAGGAATAAATGCAGCACATTGTATCCCTCTTAAAGAGGTGTTAAATCAAGCGCTCAACTGCTACAAGCTCAATTTCCAGCCACACTTTAAACCCCACCCCCAGACTCACCAGCTGGGGTGTTTCACTTGCTCTCTCCTAGGGAGGTGTACGAGAACTTGAACAAACTGAATGAACAGAAAGTACTATACGTGCCTGATAGAAAAACCACGCGCGTTCAGAGGCAAGGGGGACTCAGAGGCAGGGGGACGAAGTGGCTGCCACGGTGGCCCGGACCCAGCCCCTGCTGCCTCCCCCACGGTGCTCAGCACGGCCTCACTGCCCCGCTCCCTCCCGGACAAGACAAGCTTTGGAGCGGGCGCGGCAAGCCTTTGCTGTCAAGGACCGGATAGTAAGTAGTATTTTAGACTTAGAGGGTCAGGACACCGAACTGAGGATATTATGAGG